ATATACTAAAACTATTTAAAAATACTTTTAGTAGTTGTTGCTTTTTTGTAAAATGAGAAAGAAAAACAATCTGGGAATGTATTAGAATACTAATAAAACCAAACAGTGGAGAGACAAGAACTCTTATTCTGTGCATCTCCTCTTTTGGAGTCAGACCACTTGCTCTGCACCACTTACTAAGAATGCTATATATTACCATATAAACTATGCTAGGTGGTGCTGACTCCACTTTGGTTCAAACCTCCTTTGAAAGGATTGGCAGTAATTAAAGAGTTCAAATATCAAAGAAATTGCCTATGTTCCAGACTGAACACAGACTAACAGAATTTTAAAATTAATTTTATCGCGCAATTACTGTCAATAAGAACTTAAAACAGGGTGGCCTAGGGATTAAGTCTCAGCGCTATCATGTTCTCACTGCTGTGGCCTGAGTTTGATCCCCAGCCAGGGAGCTAACCTACACATGGTGCAACAGACCTCTCCTGTCTCGCCTGCTACTACCCTTAGCAGTGTATTTCAGTAGATCCACCTGTTCTGCTTCCCACTCATTCTCTGGTGAATCCTCTCACCCCCTGCATCCTAGCCTGCACCTCAGTTCTTCTACGCATAAATAAATCTTAAAAAAAAAAAAGGACTTAAAACATGACCAATCATGGATAATAAGACTTAGCTGAACTAATACACTACAATAAACATTTCTTTTACTGAAGATAAAATTGTCTTGAAAAAATGAAATAAAATGTAAAAAGTAGAACTTTAAAAACATCTTAATACAAGAAATTTTTTTATTTCAATAAATACTTCCAATGTGGGCAAATCCTTTCTGAGCAAGATAGAAAAAAAGACAGATTAATCTGGCTTTATAAAAATGTCTAGGAAAAATATAATTAACCCAAGTAAAAGACAGTCTGGTGGGAAAAAAAAACTTTGTATACATATATACATATACATACACACATATGACTAAAGAAAATATCACTTGCCTTTCCTGAATGGAAGAACTAAACACATATCGCAAGCAGCAAGCCCATACCTGAGGACTATAGATATGTATAATCCCAGACAGCCAACTAAAACAAAAAGTAGAAATTAAAATTATAGCCATTTACATATTGATACTTAATATACTTTAGATTATATTCTCAAAATAATATGACAACGGTTTTTGGCATTCACCAGAAACACATTAAAGACTATATATATATAGATATATAGATATATAGATATATCTATATATATATATCTATATATCTATATATATAGATATATAGGCCTCACCTGGTGGCACAGCGGTTGAGCGCTGGGCTGCGAGGCTGCCCGCAGCCTCTGCAGCGCCAGTTCATTCCCCAGCTGCCAGTGAGGGTCCCACAAAAAAAAAAAAACCAAAAAAAAAAAACCAGACCTCATATATAAGAAATCTATGAATGTTGACCTTGCTTATTATTAAGAAGGAAAATAGATGATTAGGTAGGTAGTTCTCCTTTCTTTCTCTCCTTTTCCATCTGAGATGAAGGACAAATGGGAAGTGGTAGGAGAAAAAGTGGTTAGTAGAGGTGAAGACAGGATTCAATTGGAGTCAGTCTGGCCTGGAAAAATGGGCTAAATTAGGGGGAGAATGAAGTTAGCAGCCTAAAACTATAGTTACTGAGAGGATTAAATGCTGTTACATATATAGGTAGCCTGAAACACAGAAGGATCTTAGTAGATACACACTTAGCATCAAAACCCATAGCATATACCAGGACCACAGCAAATACACTGTAATAGATCCCATGTTACAGAACACTCTCATTTTTTTTTAACTTTGCACATACTATTCCCATATGGGTTTTCTCCCCACCAAGCCTCCTTTCTATTATCCAGACATTTTCTATTATTACCTATTATTCAGGCCCAGCTAAAGTTTGCCTTCCTCTAACAAAATGTCTCCTAGTATCCCTTACAAACACTAATAGTGCTCTCTATCCATACTGCTTATTGATAATAAATCATAATCTTCCTCACCATTTATCTTTCTGTATATGAATATTTAATTAATTTATCACCTTACCTTGATTATAAATTCCTTGAGGAGCTTTAAATTCCAACCCAGTTCCAAACATAATATTATGCAAATGGTAAGCACTCAGTAAATACTGAACATAAATTTCTGACTGAATAATTTGTTTAAATGTCATTAGCTATTAACTCGAAAGAGAAAGTCATTAACACTAAAAAGAATTTCTGCGAAATTGCCTGGCAGTGAAATTAAACAGCTATTCTGGGCCTTGGGTTATTCAAGGTATCAGGATAGTAGGGAAGGTTAAAGAAATAGGGTTCTAAGGTTTCGATGTCAACTAGAAAAATTCAACTTTGTTGGTTTCATATATTAGCATTCTTAAATTGGACAAAATTGCATTTTAACAAGTTCTGCTATTATGACAAGAAAGTTCAGGATTCATTTGTCTTTAAGGCTTATGAAGGTGATCTAAGTATTATATATTCACAGTACAGCTGATTCACGTGCTTATACTTTTGAACATATCTGTGGCTGAAAGGTTTCCGTAAATAATGCAATACTTACATTCCCACTAATGGCAGAGAATAAACCTTGGGATCAGATTCCAACAAAAGCAACAACTTACGGGTTTCGTCCATGGTAAGATATCTAAATGGAAAACATTCATGTAAAAACAATTGAAAGTAGGTCCTTTTTACCTAAGCAAGATAACCTGAGTGCTAAAGAAGCATCTTTTAGGCAGGGGAGCTGACTTAAATGATATTTTCTCAGTCACACACACACATACATAAATAGTTCAAAATACAAAGACTCCAATGAGAGGAAAAGATTAAACAGATTTTATATCACTATTGTAATGACATTAAAGATTACACACCTTTTTAAAAAAGTTTTGCTCTGTAAGTATCAAGTTATTTTTATCAAAAGTACTATTAAAATCAAGGCTGACAATTTCAGAATCAAATAGAATAGGTTTCCCTGAGAAGAGTGATTTTCCTATTACTAGAAGTGCGGAAGTATCCAGGTGACTTGATAAGGCTGCAACAGATATGACTTCATACTAAAGTCAATTAGATGAGGAATATTCAACCTTCCATGTACCATAATATATTCTATATTCCTCCAACCACTCTCAAAGAACTTTGGCGACATCATGATAGAATCCAAAAGCCTACTTTTCCATAAACGGGCCACGTTACATTCATACTTTGTGATTCAGTAATGACAGTAAGTTTTAAGGACATGAATAAATGCAAGATTGTTGAGAGTTAATTTTATTATTGTGGCTTTAAAACACACACAAATAATGTGCGATACCAACACTTGATAGTACTAGCAAATAGAATATACTTTGTTGCTATGATAGTAGTAAAACAGGGCCTCCTCTGTGGCGCAACAGTTGAGCGCTGGGCTGCAAAGCTGCCCGCAGCCTCTGCAGTGCCAGTTCAATCCCTGGCCGCCTGCAAGGGTCCCACATGGCGTGACAGACCTCTCCTGCCACGCCCGCTGCTCCCCTCAGCAGTGTATTTCATTGGTCTGCCTGTTCTGTTCACCCCTCTGGCACTGGTGAATTCTCTCACCCTCCTGCGCTTCTGACTGTACCCAGTGCTTGTATAAATAAATAAATAAATCTTAAAAAAAAACAGTAGTAAAACACACAGATAATGATTTTATCAGGCCATGTGACAAGCTGATTAAGCCTGAGTTGGCAGATTTATGGAACAATAACACACCTGCTTTGAAAGCTCTTCTGCCTTGATCAACTGATAAATTCCTATTCTTTAAAAGAACCAGCTTTCCTGTGATTTTCTCAGGCTTCCTGTGATTTTCCCAGGTGAATTGGACACATCTTTCTGCTTTCCTTGCCCTGAATATATAAGTCCCCATTATGTTCACCTACATGATGTTTGCATGTTAACATACTAATGAACAGAAAACATAACCTTTTAAAATTTTTTAAATTCCTGTTTCTAAAAGTTTCTACTCCATATGGATCCTAATAAATACTAGGGTACACATATGAATGTGGTCAAAGAAAGGGATAAATGTCACAAATTTCATAAATAATTTTACGTAGGATGGGGTGAGAAGAATAGGTAACTAGAAAATAGACTATTTTGTGTTACTACTGGCATCCCAAGGGACCACAGAAAAATTCAAAGAAAGGCAAATTTATGGTTCATTAGTAGATGAACATAGCACTAGGGAAAAGAAATTAATTTTTGTTAATTTCAAGCAAATTTTCATGCCCCAATAAGAAGCTCTCTACTACTGTAAGAGAAATAAAGGTTCCACTTAATTAACTGAATGTTCTACTTCAACTCCATTATTCTGGAATATACCAACACTTCTTCCTTTGTGCTAGTCCAACCAGAAAGGTATTCTGTCTGGTCAGCACCTGAGTCTCAAATCCTTTCCTGCTATTCCAGGGACCCTCTGAAGAGAAAAATCTTCTCTGTTTCTTATCCTTGTTTGAAGAGGCACTTTCAGAAGACAAGACTTGGAGTTGAGTGTACCTTGGCAAACATTTTGGCTGTAGAGATCTAACAGGAACTAGGGTGGAGTCAGTGGAAAGGAAGCCAGAGCCAATTGCTTAGACTTTGAAGCAAAGGTTGGCCTACATTGTCTAACACAGCTGAGAAGACAATGGTTAAAAAAAGTAAATGAATATTCAGGGAAGCAGGCCTGCTGAGGATCAGAGAGTGCGATTTGGCTTATATTTCCTAAGAAACTAAGAGTGACGATAGGAAGCTAGAGAGGATGCTGCCCTAGCTGCACGAGGAAACTCCACCTTCAACTGGCTGACAATTTGATAAGCAAGAATACTACAAAGTATGTAAATTTTTATTTAACTATGTCCTTTATCTGGAATCCTAATTATTCACAATTAGAAGTCTTGTAAGTAAATTCTCCAGCCACTTTTAGGCATATAATCAAAGTACAGTTTAAAAAATAAAAGGAACAGGGCCTCCCTGGTGGTGCAAAGGGTTAAGACGCAGTCTGTGAAACTGTCTGCAGCCTCTGCAGCACGAGTTCCATCCCCGGCCGGCCAGGGAGCAACCCACATGGTGAAGCAGACCTCTCCAGACTCGCCAGCTACTCCCCTCAGCAGTGTACTTCCGTCGATCTGCCTGTTCTGTTCCCCACTCTGTCTCTAGTGAATCCTCTTACCCCCCGCACCTCTGGCCTGTACCCCTGCTCTTGTATGCATAAATAAATAAATCCTTAAAAATATATATATAAATATATATAAAATAAAATTAAAATAAAACAACAAAACTGGGGAGGAAGAAAAAAAGACAATGTCCTAAAACCTAGGTAAAATGTTATAGGGGACATCTCCTCATATTTTGAAATCACAAAATACACCAATTTTAATATAATTTATACTCAAATTTTTCTTGGGGATGGGCAAACTCAAAGAAAATTATATTGAGCAAAAATTAACAACTTCATTTGTCACTTTTCTTGGTTATTTATCTTACTACCACAGCTCTCTTCCATGTAAACTAACTGTGCAATCATTTCATATTATATGGACATCATGAAAAAGTACCAATGCAACCAATATTTAAAACTTTGGACTAACAGATCTTTTACTTACCCATATTTATAGGTACCTTGAACTTGAGAAATATTCAAATTACTGCTCAAGTTTCTTGCCAGAGCTGTTGGAATAATGGGGATGGGCTTCACAGGTGTGCATTTAAAGGTATTTGCCAGAGTTACTGCTGCCCAATGCAAGTCAAAATCCACACTGTCCAAATTCTCCCGGTAAGTGATATGTGCTCTCAGGGAAAGCAGTTTACCACAATCCAAGGAATCTTTGCTACATACATGGTGCTGCAGAGCCTGGGAATCAGTATTATGCAATTACATTAAAACTTTGAAATGTGTCCATATCTTTAAAGGTTTTGTTTCATACTGGTATATAAACACATATATATCTTACACTAACAAAATAAATGACTTCTGATTTGCAACATTTAAATTCTCTTATTTCTTCCATGTGACCAAAAGGTTACATGTGTAATTATATCAGGGTAAATATGATTTATTACATCAAGTTCCACCACATATTTCCAATGTCCAATGTCCCACCCAGCAGCATTTCAAATTCTTACTGGGTAACATCACTTCCAATAAATATTACACGGAAAACAATGGACATTAAGTTAATTTGTTTCAGAGAATCTGAAATCCATTTCTCCTTGATTCTTTTCTTGTTACCTCAAACTGCCAAGCTAGTTTTCCCTCAATAGCTGCTTATGCCCACTGTGTCCTCTCTAGTCTTACATGTTAATGTCCCTTCTCAAATACATACCTGACTACTATAATAGCTTAACTATTCATTCTGACTTTATAGTTAGTCTGTCCTATTAGATTAATTATCCTGGATGTTAAAGTATTTTCTCTTTTCAGAAACTTTCAATGACTATATAGGCCCATTCAATAAAAATTAAATTCTTTAGCCTGGAAGATAAGGTTCTCTCTATAGTCAAACAAATACTCCAGTCCGACTGCCCACAAATCCAGCAAAATTCTACCCTTAACATCTCCCTGAATACATTTTGCATGTTGCTATCTTGGCCACAGTTTGTTCTTCTGGAATACTATCCCTATCCCCATCCTATAATCTTTACCTCACAAATCACATTTAATTGCATTTTAAGTCAACATCCAATCAGAAATTATGATGAATATGTATGGTATGGGTTCATTAAAATATAGCATAGTATACAATGTTTGTTTCTTATGCTTAATTAAGAATAATCACACCTAAAACTAAATATGTTATGTCAATTATACCACACACACACAAACACAAAGATCAAGTTATCAACAAATCTCACTTTAAAAGTTGAACTGTAGTCATCTGCATTGTGAACTATTATTTCTCTTGAACAAAGTCCCTGAGTTTGAACTTTGCATGGAATCACGAAGTCCCCAGGAAGAGAAGCAGTAGGGATTCTTTGTAAGCATTCAGGTACTTCTCGACCAGGATCAAAGCGATCTACTGTCAATGTCACACCTTCTTCATCTGAAGAACAAAAATAGCTGTTACTATATAGCATGCCAATTAAAAAGGTGAAATTAATCAAGCAAGTCTACATTATAGCAAAGCAAGTCATTCATACTAATGGCACACTAAACTCTTATTTTAAAAAATGACTTGCATATATATTCTTCCATCTGACCAGATTGTGAAGTCTGTGATGGGTAGTGTCAAGTTTTATTCATCTTCACAACCTTGGTATACAGCAAAGAAAATCAGCAACAATTATAATAATCCTCACTAGTATACATAAACGCTACTATAGTCAAAAATCAATAAATATGTCTATTATAATCATATAAATACATGTTTTTAAGTATGTTACCTTCATCTATTGTGAGAGAACCAAGTAAAAAGCATGGCAAATTTTTTTTATTCTGCTTAGCATGACGACAAGCAAGTCGGATGGTCTTTTCAGTTACCACAAGTTTTGGATTTCTGAAAAATAAGAAAAAGTCTTTTATGAACATGATCTGATACATGAAAAAACCCTCCTTCCACAAAATGCTACCTAAAATATAACATACAGTTTTAAAAATGTATTGAGGCCTCCCTAGTGGTGCAAGAGGTTAGGATGCAGCCTATGAAGCAATCCGCAGCCACTGCAGCATGGGTTTGATCCCCAGCCAGGGAGCTACCCTCATGATGCAGCAGACGTCTCCTGGCTCACCCGCTGCTCCGCTCAGCAGTGTTTTTCAGTCAATCTGCCTGTTCTGTTCCCCACTCTGTCTCTGGTGAGTCCCTCACCCCCCTGCACCTCTGGTCTGTACACTGGTTCTTGTATGCATAGATAAATAAATCTTTTAAAAAAAAATGCATAGAAAGATCATTTTTGGGAAATCCTATGGTCAAAGGCAGGGTATAGGATAGGCTAAGAGACATGGAAGGGAAAATGAGTAAGTCTAATAAATATTTAATTGAAATCCCAGGCCTTTTTTGTCAATGAGACCATCCTTCAATGCAAAGTGTTTTTAAAACTTAAATACTTTTTGACTTATTTTTCCTTCTGTTCCTCTATTTATTAGAATATCAAATGCTACAACCTGTTTCTTTAAAATACCTTATTTCACTATTTCCTCTAAATGTTAATACTGCTACTCTACTTTAAATCCTTATAATACTACCATATATTGAATAGTTCCTATGTCGGCACTGAGCCAACTGCTACTTTATAGAGTCTGTCTCATTTAATCCATGTAAGTGCACTATGAAACAAGTTCTCATTATACTCATTTTATAAATTAGGAAACTAAACAATGGCTTCTTCAGTAAGGTCACATAAAGAACTGGCAGAATCAGGATTGGACCCTCCAGGAATTTGACTCCAATTACAGCATCTTAAACCACTGTGGCATAAGTCTGTGTTGTTAACATTACCAAAAATAAACTCATAACTAGACTGACTCTAGCTTCTCCCTACTATGATCCAGAATTCTTAGAAGAATTCTACTTTTAATAAGCAACTTCTTACATACAAAATCTCAATAGATCTCAATTTTCTATTACTTTAAAACTAAGCTTCTATGTCTTTCTTTCAAGACCCTGACCATAACCATAATATTTGATATTCTTTTTTTTTTAAAGATTTATTTATTTATGCATAGAAGAACTGAGGTGTCAGAGGTGCAGGGGGTGAGAGGATTCACCAGAGATAGAGTGGGGAGTAGAACAGGCAGATTTACTGAAATACACTGCTGAGGGAAGGGTGGCCAAAATAGAAGAGGTCTGCTGTCCTCTCCATATGTGGGTTAGCTCCTTGGCCAGGGATTGAACTCAGGCCATCGTGGTAATAATGCTTAATTAAGACTTAACCCCTATGCCACCAAGGAGGCCCAATATTTGATATTCTTTTTAATATGGTCTATCTATTCATATCAGTTTTATCTTCTTAATACTCTGTAAGTAATGTCCTTTCAAGTTTTTATTATATTTTGTCTCTTTTTTCCTATAATTCTTTGCAGAGTATTTTAACTGTGAAATTAAGTTGTTTCTCAAAATCATGAGCAACAGAGTTAAGAAGGTGCAGAATCTGAATACATAAGTAAAAAAAAAACAGCCAAAAAAAACTTAACCACTCAAATAGCCATGGTAATCAGATTTGCTTACACATTCTTTGACTCCTGTTTACATTGGTTTGATGTGGAAAAAAAGAAATACCTGTAGTAATTGAGACGTAAGTAGATGAAATCTCCAATCGGTGTAGGGTTCCAAAGTGCACATTTTGATGGCGGAAAGTAGAAAGGTACCATCTTGCTTGTAGGAAACCTTAAAAAAAAAGTTTGAAATTAAAAGCAGTACAAATTTTATTTAAAAAAACAAAAAACTAAGTAATGGGGTTTTTTATGATTACTTTTGTAATTTTAAAAGAGCTGAAAAATATTGTGAAAAGAAAGAAAATGACTTGTAACTCTATCAGGAGAAAAGCACTCAAAAAAGTTTTTTGGTCTTTCCCTGTATGCACATATAAATTTACATACACACAAGCTTTTGAAAAAGAACATCAAGCATCAATCCTATAAAACCCCACTTAACTAGTAAAAAAATGAGTATGAACCAGTCCTTCTGAACTAATTGCTAGGTAATACCCAAAAAATATTAAAAGCACAAAAACTTTATTATAATAGACTGTTCATTTTTCAGTGTCTCCAAATTTGGTATCTAGGGTCCTGGACCTATCACTTAAGTTTTATTATTGAAACATCAAACATGATTATTATAAGTAATTCCCAACAAAGATAATATTGGCTATGTAAACACAAGGTTTCAATGCTAAATCATATAGGGTACCACCACAAAGTACTTATTTTATATGAGTAAAGACAAAATCACATTAAGAAAAAGGCAATGGAAAAAAAGGACTGGGAAGAAAATATGAGTTAAAATCATATGTAATTAAATCAAGAAAGCTCTGACAGTAAGCTATGTATAACAGTGCATTTGCATGACTGGAGATCATTAAGTGGTTGAACTGAAAGAATTTTCATCATGTCATTCATTAAGAATACCTTCTTCTAAGGGAATGGAGGCATCACACTCCCAGACTTCACACTATACTACAAAGCCATAATCATCAAAACTGCATGGTATTAGAACAAGAACAGACATACAGACCGATGGAATTGAATAGAAAATCCAGAAATAAACCCACAGATTTATGGTCAAGTAATCTTTGACAAAGGAGCAAAGACTATGCATTGGAGCAAAGAAAGTTTGCTCAATAAATGGTGCTGGGAAAACTGGGTCGCTACATGCAAAAGAATGAAGCTTGACCACTACCTCACACCATACACAAAAAATCAACTCAAAATGGATTAAAGAACTAGACATAAGACCTGAAACCATAAAATACATAGAAGGAAATATAGGCGAAACACTACATGATATGCACATCAAAGACATCTTTACAGATACATCACCCAAGCAGTGATAGTGAAGGCAAAGATAAACAGCTGGGACTACATCAAATTAAAGAGCTTCTGCACAGCAAAAGAGACAATAACAAAAACAAAGAGAAACCCCATCAACTGGGAGAACATTTTTGCACACAACACTAATGATAAAGGACTGATCACAAAAATCTGCAAAGAGCTGATGAGACTCAGCACAAAGAAAATAATCCAGTCAAAAAATGGGCAGAAGAGCTAAAAAGAAACTTCTCTGAAGAGGAAATGCAAATGGCCAACAGGCATACGAAAAAATGTTCAATATCACTTGTAATCACAGAAATGCAAATCAAAACTACCATGAGATACCATCTTACACCAGTGAGAATGGCACATATTAAAAAAACTAGCAACAACAAATGTTGGCGAGGGTGTGGAGAAAAAGGAACTTTTCTGCACTGTTGGTGGGAGTGCAAACTGGTCCAACCACTATGGAGAGCTGTGTGGAGATTTCTGGACCTACTAAACATAGAGCTTCCATATGATCCAGCAATTCCACTCCTAGGTATTTACCCAAAGGACACAGAAACATCAATTCCAAAGAACACCTGCACCCCTATGTTTATAGCAGCACTATTTACAATAGCTAAGCTTTGGAAACAACCCAAATGCCCAAAAATAGATGACTGGCAAGAAGATGTGGTACATATACACCATGGAATATTACTCAGCATTCAAAAAAGATAAACACATGCAATTTGCAGCAACATGGATGGCGCTGGAAGGGATCATGCTCAGTGAAATAAGCCAGAAAGAAAAAGAAAAATACTGGATGGTCTCACTCATAGCAGGAATCTAGAAAACTTAAATAAGGGACCAGGAAAATGAATAACTATAAGAAAGTGAAAATCAAAATCAACAAACAACTATGAACCAGAGACACTCTATGGGGGGTAGGGGTGGGAGGGGAGGGACTGGGCTCAAAATAAGGGGTTGCAATTGTATGGGGAATATAAAAATAAAATGTATTATAAAAAAAAAGAATACCTTCTTCTAGATGTTACTTTCATTTATGATCTGATAAAGCTTTTCAACTAAAATACTAGCCACAGTTTACTATGTACTAGGCATTGTACTGGGCACTTTATCTACACATTTTACAGACACATTATTTCTCACTAAAACTGTTCCAGAAAGTTTATTGTCCACTTCACTGATAATAAACTAAACTTCCCTCGCTTCATATAGCAATTAAGTAACAGAGCCGAGAGTTGAGCTTAAATTAAGTATATGGGGGGGGGCATAAATTAATTAATTATGGCCGATTTCAAAGTTTATAGTTCTAGAAGCTGAGTGGTATAAGAGCTTAGAGCCTAGATTGAATTCTGGCTCTACCAATTCCAAGCTTTGTGCTTTCAAATCCTTATCTAAATTAATCCAATAATAAGGATTTTTAATCTCCCATTTTGGGGAAAAAGGATATAGTGTTTTAGAAATTTATTCAAGATCACAAAGATAGTAATGGACAAACTATCAGCTTATCTGTCTCTATATCAAATACATCTATCATTTACCAACTCTGAGCGACAGTATAATGTAAGGGCTAAAAACAAAAAGTCTAGAAATCAAATGCTTAGGTGAAACCTGGCTTCAGAATTTACTAGTGGAGCCTCCCTGGTGGCGCAAGGGGTTAAACACAGCACTACGAAGCAATCCGCAGCCTCTGCAGCATGAGTTCGATCCCTGGCTGGCCATGGAGCAATTCATATGGTGAAGCAGACCTCTCCTGTCTCGCCGGCTGCTCCCCTCAGAAGTGTGTTCCAGTCAGTCTTGCCTGTTCTGTTCCTCACTCTGTCTCTGGTGAATCCTCTCACCCTCCCCCATCTCTGGCCTGTACCCCAGCTCTTGTATGCATAAATAAATTAAGCTTTAAAAAAAAAATTTACTAGCTATGTGACCTTAATCAAATTCTTTAATGTCTCTGTGCCTCAGTTTCCTCATCTGTTAAACAGGGTAATATCAGTATCTCCTGGTAGAGTTGTATTGAATATTAAATGCATAAATATATGTAAAATGCTTACAAAATTCCCAGTTTATTGTAAGTGCTCAATGTTTTTTTTTTTTTTTTTTTTTTGCTTTTAGAGATCTATCATACCTTTAAAACCTAATCTATACAACTTTAGGTTTACTTCCTTATAGTATCATATAGAATAGAAGTCAAGTCAGGTTAAATCCTGGCTATACCACTTACCAACTCTATTTGGGTTGGTTAATCTCTCTATACTTGCACAGATGCAACAAGATTTTTAAAGACCAGAAGCTGATAAATTTTCAAAGATTAAGAATTGGCTGTAGGAAAGAACAGAAGGACCAAAGCTGAACGAAAGGAACATGATACCCTCTTCAGGTCATGTTTCCCATTGTCTTCATTAAGAACATCTGGCAAAAAGAAAAATAATACAGATAAGAAGAAAGGTGACTTGTGTGCAATTCTAGTTTAGGAGAAAGAAAATTCACATCCATATTAATTGTTCTCCCCCAGGGGAATGAAAGAACAATAAATGAGCCAAAGAGCCAAATAACACAAGCCAATTTATTTGGTCCCCATAGTAATGACAGATTGAGAAAATTAGGAGACAGGTGTTAAACTCCTCCTTCCTAGTCTACCTAAGTAAGAAAAAAGCTTAAGGAAATTTAAGAAAATTTGGTATATCCAATGCAAAATTTTTTCCATTAAGGAATAAGGATTTAGAACCACTTTCCCACTAGTCTTGGGAAATAAATAAATGTGATTTTTAGCATCATGAGGTAAGATACTATTTCCCATCAATAATAGGATCCTCTGTAAAACTAAAATAAGGGAAGGTGGGAACTAGTATTTACTGAGCAATCATATTTAACCCTTCATAATAATCTGTTAGACAGAAATTATTAAACCAAATTTATAGGAAACCAAGGCTTAGAGAAGTTAAACAGCTTGATTAAGGTCACCCACTAACAAGTGGTAGAGCTGGGATATGGACCCAGAATTTCCTGATTCTAAAGATTATTATTTTTATTTGATTCCAACCTACTTTACAAGTTACGTGAACAGGTAGGGGAAAAAAATGTATAAAATATTTCTATACCTGATATTCATCTGCGATCCTGCAAGAGTCTCCATAATTCTTTGTAATGATTTATTCAATTTCAAATGCTCAGTATCCTAGAGTAAAGAGATTATTAATGAGTGATAAAAACAAAAAAAATCAATCATTACCACATATTCACAAAATTACATGCAAAATTAGGTTACTTATATAAAATGTCATCATCTATAGACTAATAAGATAAAATCTTATTGTGATTGTGATCATTTTCATATTTTATAGTCATTCTGCCTATAAATTAATGTTAAACCTAGCAAAAACCTACCATTATTACTTCTATTTATTAAAGAAAGCATAGATTCTATCCTACCATCTTTATCTCAACTTAGTGAACGGGTAAAGCAGGAAGAATTTAACATGATATTTTAATCAAAAATCTCACAATAATGCATGTGCTGTAAAAATAAGGGGGAAATAACTTGAGATGATGGCTAGCTTTGTTTAATATCTTATGAAATTTTCGTAAACAACTGATGCATAATTGTTAAGAACATGTGTATTAAGTTCACATAAGTTAATAAAAGTTTTATGAATGGTCTTTTCAAAAAAAAAAAAAAAAAACTCACAATATCCAGAAAATCACAAAGCATCAGATAAGAACAATTTGGGACAGTACGGGGTTATAATAAAGTCAATGTCTTAAATTGTGTGAAGATGGAAGTCAAATACTGCATCCCCACAAATTAACTTGTATCAGTGCAAAATCAACAATATACTTTTTTAACATTAACACCTGCTCTCTCTGAATAGGTTCCTCTACTCCCATTGCTTCCACACTCATCCAGAGTCAACTTTCAGCTTCCACCTCTCTTCTGAGCTACAAACCTTTATTTCTGATTGCCCATTGGGTATTTCCATCTAAATATTATCAAAGCAAAATACAAGCCTCATAATCCTTTCTAAAATTCAATGTTTCCTATATTATTTTATTAAGTTGTGAGAGTGCCTTAAGGCCCTACACATTCTTTCATTTTAGCAAAAAGGAACAATCTGAAGCAAGAAGGCAGTATGAGTGCAGTTGCAGAAGTCATTTAGAAAGATTCTTTTAGGGCCTCCCCGGTGGCGCAGCGGTTGAGCGCTGGGTTGCGAAGCTGCCCGCGGCCTCGGCGGCGTCGGCTCGATCCCCGGCTGCTCCCCGGCCACCGGAAGAGGGTCCCACATGGCGCACAGACCCCTCCTGCCGCCCGCTGCTCCCCTCAGCAGTGTACTTCGGCCCTTTTGCCTGCTCTGCTCCCTGCTCTGGCTCTGGTGAATTCTCTCACCCTCCCGCGCTTCTGACTGTACCCAGTGCTTGTATAAATAAATAAAAATAAATCTTTAAAAAAAAAAAAGGAAAGATTCTTTTAGATAGACTAAAAATATTTACAACAAAATTCTACAGAAAGTGCTTTGTGAAGTTGACTAAAAAAGTCACCCTTGGAAATATCTGAGCTCCCTGCAGCTTCTACTGGAATGCAGTTTTTGAATCTAAAGTCCTGTGCCACTTAATTATCATGGATAACAACATACAGATTAAACTTGCAACTCTTGAAATATATAAAGTGCCATACTTTCTTCACACTAAAGAGTCTTTAAATGCCTTGCCTCTCTCTTCTTCCTTATGTGTTAGGGTAAAAAGATAATGCTGATGCATTTCTTGTTTAAAACACTACACACGCTACAGTTTATTCTGACAGTCTCACAAAAGCAATTAGTGAAACTAAAACCACATAATACCTACACCTAGCAAAACACATTCTCCCTGATAATGGCATTCTTATCTCATGGAAACCATCAAATCATCCTTAGGTCTCCTTTTTTCCCTCTTCCAACATAAAATTGTCTTTCCAACTCCACTACCTTAGTTTCTGACTTCAACTCAGATCAGATTTCCCAAAAGTCCCTACAAATGTGCTAGAAGGGTAGTTACACATGAATCAAAGCATTCTCTTGTTTATAAAGCTGATGGCTCATCTTTATATACAGAATAAAGGGCCTTCACACTCTGGCCCCACACCCTGACTCCAACCTGCTGCCTTAGCCACTCATCCTAAATCCCAACCAAACTGAACGACACACTTGCAGCTCGCCGAGTTTGGTATCTCCGCACAGGCTGTCTCCTTTACTTGGAACTCGCTTCCTTCGTGAAACCACCTCCTACATCCCTTGGTGAGGTGCCTCCCGCCAGTGTTCACACACACAGCATAACGTCTACACATTACTTCCAGCAGACCACGAATTCCAAACATTAACTGATCCCTGACTATGTAGCTCCTCCAGATCAAGATAACGTGAGAAATGCAAGAAGGAACATAATGGGCTTCAGTTTTCAAGAAATCATCACAATAAAAACAACTTCCAAAGGCACGTTATCGACTACAGAGAACACACCTCCCAACAGTGTCAAGGAATCCGTGCTCCGCCTAACTGATTTCCCCCACTAGTTCCCTATCAGGTCACGGGCCCCAAGCTCCTGGAGGGAACCCGGCGCCGGGCCCAGATTATTGCTCATCCTCCCCACCCCCCCCACCCCGAGTCCCGGGGTTACCCCTCGAGGGAATCGCAAGCACAAAGCCCCGCTCACCGCAACCTTCGCCGATCCAGGGTCTGTTTGTTGGGCCGGAACAGAGGTCGGCTCCAAGGAGCGCCTCCGCCGACTCTGCCCCGCCTCTGGGACGTTGGGGTCGCGGGAACCGCGGCGGCAAACCCCGGCTAGGGAAACCGAAGCCCGCGCCCGCGCCCGCTGACTGGCCAGAAACCCCACCCGTCAGGGAGCAGGGGCGGTGCTGGAGGCGTCACGTACGAGCGCCGCGACAGGCTGCTGCGCCAGCCAATCAGAGCTCCGCATCGGTCTCGCGTCGCCCAATCCCTAGTCTTCTTGGAGAATTGAGGCCTTCAGCGGCGCTGCAGCGCCAAGATCCGGAGGATTTAAACATGTCGTTTTTCAACGGTTAAGTTCCGGGGTGGGGCGGGCCTTGCGCACGCGCAGTGAAAATTCCAGCCTGGCTGCAATTAGGGTGGCAGAGGAAGCGGAAGTATCCGCTGCCCTAATCCTCGTTTGGTGACTGGAAGCTGAGCCATTCATTTGAATGGACCAGAGGAAGTGTTATAGAGCAACCCCGATATTAAACGGGTTCCTGGCTGTGGGTCCTCACCCGCGCGCTTTAAAGGACTTATGAATACTCTACTACAGACACACGCAAAAGGGTTAATAAAAGGTTTATTTACAAGAGAAAAGAAATAAGGAAAATGTACAACTCAGGGAGAAAATAGGGAAATAAAGTCTTTAATGCGTCCTACCCGATCCGACGACCTGGAAACCCAAAGTCACTCTCAGAGCTAGACGGACGCCGCGAGCTGGCCGAGGGCCCCAAAATGGAGAGAGCCCCAAAGCCCACATGTCTGCCTTTTTTGATCCACCTGGCTGCTTAACCCCACCCTCAGGTCCCAGCCACCTTTCCCTTGGGTGGTGATGGGATGTAGAGTTCCCAGTGTCTTTGGCTTTGGCCCGGGGTGGGGGTGGAGTCCAC